ACTTCTTCGACAGGTGGTACGAGCGCGGCCTCGCCTGGTACCGGTGAGCGCCGGGTCCTTCGGTCCCATCCGCTTCCGTGCGCGCCCTGGCCGGTGCCTCCCGGGAATCATGTGGTGCGCCCCTGGGGTACCACCGGGGTCGAGGCAGGGAGAGGTCTCGGGCATCGCGGGATATGATCAGCCTGGGTTGGGGGCGGCGGCGGCGCGGGGCGGGCGAGGCTTGGTCACTGGCCGGGAGCTCTAAGAAACTTTGAAAACTCCAGGGAAAGCCTTGGTTTGAGGCCGCTGAGGGGTCTCAGTAAGACGGAGAGGGAGTGCGAGCCCAGCTGAGAAGTAGCTTCAGGCTCGCGGGGTTTGAGGAGCGTTAGAAACTCTTCAGGCTCGGTCGCCCTCCCCTGCTGGCCAGTTACCCGTAGCAGGGGCAGTCTCCTAGAAAGGGTCTGCCTCCCAGACTCCTGATCCTGGGAAGAGGGGTCCTCGGGGGTCCTGTGGGTCTGCAGAAGGTCTGGGCTTTAGGAGGAAGGATGTGCCTTTGAGTCAGTGCCCAAGGGTGGGAATTAGGACCCCAGCTTCATGTCATGGCGCCCTGCCCCACGGGGGATGGCCTTGGGGTACGGTGTGGAATGTGGGGGAGCACCTATCCCCAGATGAAACAGCCCCTCTGGGCTGAGGTTGGCACTGCCTGCAGCCTCGTCAGTTGCACACAAGTCTGCCACCTGCCCTGTCCCTTCCTGTGGGGGAAATGAGAGCTTATAGACGGAGAGTGAGTCTCCCCACTCCCCCAGCTCTCACCTTAGCCCCAGCTTGGGACCAGCCTCCATGGGACAGAGAGGACCCTGCCCAAGGTCACCTGGTGAATTAGTGGGGAGTTGGGGGCAGCGGAACCCAGACTCTCCAGGTATCCTAGTTTCTCTGTACCCAGATTCCTCACCTCCACCCCATTGGCTTTCTTTGCCTTTTGCCTTAAAAACCACTCATGGGTTTGGAAGAGCCCCAGTGAAAACAGGGGTCCTAGCTCCTGAGCTCTCAAAGGTTGCTGCCATCAGGGGATCCTCAGGAAGCTGAGTGGTGCTGGGAGGGCGGTGAGTCCATCCTTGAATCCAACTGGCTGAATTCTAGTGTCAGAGCTCAGACCGCTACCCACCCTGACAGTGCCACTGGCACCCCAAAGCATCTCTAATACCTACTGCTGCAGAGAGGACAGAGAAGAGGAGGTGGGGGGGCGGGGAGAGTGGAAGAGGGTGGGACGGTGGAGGACACACTATAACTGTAGGGCAAACCTCAGAGTCCACACTGATCCCAGAAGGGGGTGGGACGGTGGAGGACACACCACACTGATCCCAAGAACTTTGACTCCAAGAAGCTGGGGGAGACACTGAGCTGGGCTAATTGGGGGTGGGGGGCTGCAGGGGAGGCTAGACTGGGTTTAGCCCTAAAAGGTTTCTCGAAGAGTCAGGAAGCCTGAGGCCCCTTCCAGGCTCCCGGGTGCATGCTCCAGCTCTGAGGGACAGGTCTGGGGAGGATGAGGGCCTGAGAGGCAGTAGGCACGAGACCCAGACTGGAGGTCAGATCCTCAGCTCTGGGGTTTCTCGGGAACCAGGGATGGGAGCCAGGGGATTCAGGAGCGAGTCTAGCTCTGGTAGAGGAGGGACTTTCTCTTTATTTTTAGAGCCACTTCCACCGGGAGGGAGAGGGGGTGCAGAGGGGCAGGTCCCAGTGGCCTTGCCCCATTAATCCGGAGCTGTCCCTCTGGGCTGGCTAGGGCCGAACCCTCGTTGGCTGGTGCAGGAGCTGAGCTGGCGGAGCTTCTGGGGTGCCCTCAAAGGGGTCTGTCTCCCGGGACTTATCCCAAGAGGGCTGGGTGCTGTTCCTACCTGAATTCTCAGGACACGAGATAGAGTGTGGGTGCAGAGTACCAGCGCATGTGGCCCTGACATGTACAATACAAGCGGCTTGGCGTGCTCACAGGTGTCCTGTGCCTCTGGCCCTTTTTTTTCTTTCAACCTACTCAGAGTGTGCGGTGAACCTCTGAAAATGCGACCCCCGCCCTTCCCCAGCTGCAAAGAGGATGCCCAACCCCTGGGCATGGTCTGCTGGTGTTGGCTCTCAGGACCCTGGCTGAGCCGCCAGGAGTGCAGAGCCCTGCTCTGGGTGGAGGGCTAGGCTGGTGAGTCAAGGAGGAGCGGCCAGTACCCCCAGCCGAGTTTCTGGGACACCCATCCCCACTGGGCTGTGACTGACCTCGTTCCAGGCAGTGGCCCTGGCCCTGCCCAGGGCCTTGGCAGGTGGGTTCTGGGCTGCCCAAAGTTAATCTTGGCCAAACTTTTCCCTCTAACTGGGCTGCAGTTAGCCCCTTTCTCAGACGCTTGAGGGTCCTCCATCTTGGGGATTGTGACCTCCTGGTACCCCCACGCTCAGTCAGCATTTTCTCATCTATTCGTTCACTCACTGAGCATCTTCTGTTTGGAAGACAAGCACTCCAAGGTCTCATCAGGAGGGCTGTCTTGTCTGGGGGCAGGTGGGGCTATACTTTGACCAGTGGGTGCAGAGTACCAGCGCATGTGGCCCTGTGCTGACATGTACAAGCGGCTTGGCGTGCTCACAGGTGTCCTGTGCCTCTGGCCCTTTTTTTTCTTTCAACCTACTCGGAGTGTGCGGTGAACCTCTGAAAATGCGACCCCCCTTCCCCAGCTGCAAAGAGGGTGCCCAGCCCCTGGTCATGGTCTGCTGGTGTTGGCTCTCAGGACCCTGGCTGAGCCGCCAGGAGTGCAGAGCCCTGCTCTGGGTGGAGGGCTAGGCTGGTGAGTCAAGGAGGAGCGGCCAGTACCCCCAGCCGAGTTTCTGGGACACCCATCCCCACTGGGCTGTGACTGACCTCGTTCCAGGCAGTGGCCCTGGCCCTGCCCAGGGCCTTGGCAGGTGGGTTCTGGGCTGCCCAAAGTTAATCTTGGCCAAACTTTCCCTCTAACTGGGCTGCAGTTAGCCCCTTTCTCAGATGCTTGAGGGTCCTCCATCTTGGGGATTGTAACCTCCTGGTACCCCCACACTCAGTCAGCATTTTCTCATCTATTCGTTCACTCACTGAGCATCTTCTGTTTGTCAGACAAGCACTCCAAGGTCTTATCAGGAGGGCTATCTTGTCTGGGGGCAGGTGGGGCTATACTTTGACTTTAGTATTTGGGAAAAGCGAGAGGAGATAGGAGGGTGCAGGTGGGGAAACCCGCTTGGCCCCTGGGGCCAATGAGGGAGTGGGGTTCTGAGTGTGTGGGGGAGGGACCTGGGCTTCTGTGGGGCTTTTCTCCCTGTGCTATCCCAGGAGAAGCTCCTGAGGCTGGGGACCAATGCCCCACCCCAGCACCCTATGGATCCACATGGGAACCCTAAGTAGCTTTTGCTCAGAACCAGGCCTGGCTGGCTGGGGCCCGGGAGAGATGGGGGACCTAGGGGTGGATGAGACCAAGGAGGGAGAGGAGTCTGGGGCTGGATGGAAGCCGCAGGGAAATGCAGACCAGATGCACAGGGAGGGTCCGGAACAACTTGTCAGATGTTTGCTGTGTGGAGGTCAGAATCCCGTTCCT